TCCTGGTCGGCCATGTATTTCTACTGAGATTGCTCTTGTGTCTGAGAGTGTCGTGAGGAGAGGAGAGGAGAGGAGAGGAGAGGAGAGGCATGTTCCCTTAAAATAGAAACACTGTTTTTTTCCACTAGCTCAAAAAGACCCATGCTTACAACGACTATACATTGATTACATCTTGATGGTTTTGAATCATTCAGAAGGCAGTGATGTGAGAAAAGACTGCTTAGGTGTATATGCAGTGATGGAAAGAGAGAGTGAGAGTTCAAGCAACCCGTTTGGCCCTCTAGCTCTCCTTTATGGACTAAAGTTAAAAAAAAAAAATCCAAATAAGGAAAGTAGGTTTTGGGTTGAGGTTGGGGTTTTTGTTGTTGTTGGTTTGAGTTTTGGTTTGGTTTTTTTTCCATTTCAGAGCCTAAATATCCTGCTGTAAAGGATGGGGAAGCAATGGAAACTGATTCAATCAGAGGAAAAACTTTTGTTTCACCTTAGGACCAGTCATTTGGCTGGTATGTAGGTTGCCATGAAACAAACCTTATCAGTATCCAGTTAACAGTATCCACATCTGCATAGTGATCATTTTGTGGCTGATGATAGAGCAACAATGACTTAGATGTGCTGCATAGAAATTGTACCTGAGCAGCACCTCTGAGTAATCCGTTCCATGACTATCAAAGGTTCTTTTTTTTTTTCCTAAACCTTTTTGTTTCTGCCCTTAACACTGTTATCACTGTTGAAAATAGGAAGGGAAAAGATCAGTAATATAAGATCAGAAAAACAAACTTTTCTTCATTTTAATCTAGACTGTTGTAAATTCCATTGAATGTAACAAAAAGGCAAATGGGCTGTATCACAGAATAGAAATGTTATTTTCAATTGACCCATGTAGGTTTGTAGAGCCTATCTGTGTCAAACTCTAAAGGAATTTTCTAAGTGGGAATAAAACACAGAACCAATAACATAGCTCTTGGCAGGAAGTGTCAGAACTGTGCATGCACAAGACTTCATGTCTATGTGCTCTGAAATGTACTTTTAGGTTTTAAAAGGGCTTTAAGTTTCAATTCAAATTTGTGGGGTTAATTTTTTTTTTCCCCCCAAAATAGAAGACAAAAACCACTGTTACCAAAATATCCTTCAGGAAACACTTGCATCATGAACAAGGAGTTAAAGGCAACTCAGGTCTTCTGCCTCTGGAGTTTCTCAAGCAACTTAGGAACAGCAGCTCTGGTCGTCATAACTATTGTTAAAGTATTGAAATATTTTTTTAAAAGGCATTGATTGTATTACTTTTAATTTTATTTTGAATTAAATTTAATACATCATTAATATAAGCTAAATTCAGTTGTGAAACCGTTGTAATACTTGGTGGATGGAGCAGGTTAGAATATGAGTTACATTTTTATAGCTTTAACTGTGGTTGCACTTACATTAGCCCCAAAACTTTCTTATACTGATATATATCTTGTTTATCTTCCTTTTAGGTGAATAGGCTATGTAAGATCATGCACATGAGCATAATACATCCACAACACAGACAGCACTGCTTTAGCTATTCTCATGAGAACCAGCAAAAGCTTTTATACCTGTGGAAGCCCATTTTTGAGTATTCCTTAGAAACTTTTCTCTGCTTTGGCCAAATTTTTTTTTATATTAATAAAAATACAGGGGTTTAATGTTATTTTTCTCCTGTAGTCTGAAGGGTAAGAGATTATACAAGAAGAGATAGAATGGTGGCTGAAAATAGGCTTTGAAGCTGTATTGAAAGAAGCAACTTCCTTCCTTTTATCTGTTTCTCAGCCTTCCTCAGAGCCATAGCACCTCGTATGTATACTTCTGGAGGCAGGCAAAGCTAATACAGGATGCAACCCACTGTATTAAACCACCTCTTTCCATAACTCAGAAGGACTTGCTCATCAATGGCAGGTGATATCACATATGTGGACGTGGCAATGCTACCCAGGGAAAGACCGCACGTTCCTTCTCGGACATCAGTTCCAGGTAAAACATCTAATCAGCTCTTGGATGTATGTTACTTTATCTTGTGTGCTTTCTCTCTCTTTCTCTCTCTTCCATTTTAAAAATTGTTACTGGATAATACTGGAAGAATGCTATCAAATTCTGCACACAGAAGTCATGGCAAGAGTGAAATGTTGCAAATAGTGCAAGAGATTCTCAGGAGATCCAAATCACCAAAGCTACTCTTAAGTGTCTCAGTTCCAGCCCATTGTTTTAAGTAACAGAATGAGAATTTTTTTTGTCTTTGAATAATGAGCATAATCTTTCTTTTTTTTATATATAAACAACATGATCAAAAACCTGTTAGAATATGTCCCATCAAATTATTACCTAGTCCAAAAATCAGATTAATGCATTTTGTGATGTCTTAATGAAAAAGGAGTGGTAAATTAACAAGTAAATCAGAAAATTAGTGGCAGTCAAAAATGCAGTCACTGTCACTGAAGGAAATACTGAATGATTCCTAATACCCTCCTGCTCTTCCTCTTTAATTTTCCAGTAGCGACTTTCCCAGAACCACATTATCAATCAGTGATCACTTCATGCATTTGTAACAAAAGACAAAAGATTAAGTCAATATTCAGAGTAAGGAGATTATTTAAACCATATTTTTTTAAGAAATAAAATTTCCAGTACTTGGAAAAAAATGTAATTCATTCATGAAAGCATTTTGTCAAAATTCTGGATCACAGCTAATATGAATGGCAACTTCTCACTATGAGCAAATAGAAAATGCTTGTGGGCAGAGTAAGATGGTATTTTCCTGCTTTCAAAGTTCATTAGTAGTTAATGGACTTAATCAATTAAGGAACCAAATTGTGTAATGAGCATTTTTAGAAGATGCTATGCTACTCACAATGTAGATTAATAGTGATGATGTTGCCCTGAATGCATTTACTTAAATGACGGAAAAACTGATTTTTTAATATTTTTATAAAACCTTTATCTAAAAAAAAATAAAAAATTAGTTCACTTCATTATATATCTAACAGAAAAAAACACCTTATACTGTGTATTTATGCAACCATGAATAAACAACATCCATGGATGTTGTTTGTACTACTGTAACCTGTACAACACAAAGCACAGAGAGTTCACCTAGAATTTTACCCCCTTTCTAAGGTGATATAATTTATTTGCAAAGGAAGCCAGGCATCAAATCTTGATGTGAAGACATCCAAAAATGTCCCTTGATCATGCTGTCTAAAGGAAAAGCTTGAATTTGAATAGGCCAGGCTTTAATTTCCAATGAAAGTTCTCATTAACATCGAGATAGTTCTTGTTAAACCTTTGCCTAATAGATTTTAGCACTCAGTATTTTCTCATGTGAAGCTATTGGCCATAGTAATCAAGTAATTTCTCAGTGTCCTTCTGCCTTTGAATCTTTCACCCTAATTAACTTTCTGAAGAACTCTCACTATTTTCATGGATCTTTTTTCTGTTCATTCTCCAGTCTTTCCACCTCCTTTAAAAAATATGGGCACCAGAGATGCACTTATTATTACTACAAATCTCAGCCATGCTGTTTCACTTATACAGAGACAAAAATCTCCTAATCTTCCCTTCACTGTTTATAACTCCCAGTATCACCTTCTCTCACCCTTATATCTGGTTATACGCAAGCACATTTTGATTGACTAGGCTTGAGCTAACAGGGCTGTTATTATGGTTGTTTTTACTTATTGTTTTGTTAACCTTTCTGTTGTTTTCAAATTTTATTAGCATTTTTTTAACTTACTTTTAGGCAAACAGAAAAAGTACCAAACAGTATTAAGCAATATTGGATCTCATATCAGTATAGAACATGCTAGAAATATCTACCTGATGACTCATTTATCTGACTTCATCATTAACATATACTAACAAGGGTTTTATTGCTATTAAATTAGATAAGAACTTGAGCCATACTATCATGCTTTAAAAATCCAATGAACAATGAACCCTAATGAAAAATTTCAGTTGCTTGCTCCTTCCTTGAAGTTTTAATGCTTTGACCAAAATTCACACATACTCATCCAGCTGGTAAGTGTTCTTTTATTACAAGAAATTCTTCACAAATAAAAGAGTCACTTTTACCATAGGAAGAACGGGAGAAAATACAATTTTTTTTCACATTAGTTGTTTAATTAAAAAAAAAAAACAAAACAACTTGGTAGGAAATTCAGAAAAATATCCTGAAATGTGACAGGCATGTTGAGCAATGTTCACAAAACAAACTTAAGCCCAGTGTAAATATAGCAATGACTAGTGTTAAGGTCCCTCACTGCATAGTTGGCCCTCACTGAGATGCCCTGCTTTTCTTTACAGCAAATGGAGGAGAGTCTGGGATCCTAGCATGGTAAGCTAGGAACTGCCCAAAGTAGCAACTGTGATAGAGCAACAGCGCAAGGTGATGCTCAGTCAGATGTTTCTGGGAGTTAGATCCTTCCCTGCAAGATAGAAGGAGCTGCTACATGGAGGCTGCTTTGGACAGGACAGCTTCTGTGTACCAAACACACTTATGGCATGTCCCACTCGTTACCACACCCTGCATTAAGAGGTTCCAACACTTCCTCCAGTTCGGAGCAGGAATTCAAAGCTGATTCTCAAAGTGAGGGTCTCAGGTCCAAGGTGATGGGACTCTGTGGCAAGCTTCACAAGCTCTTTGGCACTATCCTGACTCTGGGCCACTGAAATGTCCACTGAAGGATACCCACGTCCCTCCCTTTGCCAGATTTTACACTGATCTTGCTCTTGGCCAGGGATGTCTGACTATCTTGCTGAAAAAGAAGTGTATAGGCATGAGGGAAAACACTGCATGGTTAAAACTCTCACCACACAGGAGGGAGAGCTGGGTTTAATCACTGCTGCAGATTCGGCAGATGAATGCTGCGAGTGGCAGGTTACCCGACTTTAGGTAGCATGCTATGGTGAAGTGGAACATGCCCAGCTCCTTCTGGCTGCATTTTGTGCAAGTTTCAGACCATTAGATGCAATTTACTGGAGTAGATATTAGAAAAAAAGACAAACCCATGGGTGAGTGGCATAGCTAATTTGCCCTGCTAAAGTATAACTGCTGTCAAGATCTGGTGCACATGAAAGATAAACATGCGGGGAGCTGAACTTCTGCCAAGGTTCTGCAGTAGTTGAGTAGGTGTTTTAAATATGTAAAATTTGGATTTGAGAGTGAAAGTCCCTTTACAGATGCAGCGCCCTCCTCTTTTTTTTTTAGCTTTTCTTTATCTGTGAGAACAGGATTTTGTTTGGTCAAATTATGCAGAGTTTTTTGGAGTTCTCACAAATATTGTTCTTTTCTCAAAGTTTATTCAATGTATTTTATGAAAACAAAGATATAAAAATCACTGTTGGCAGAGTTGCAAAGAATGTGTAAGTTTGCAGTCTAATGATAAGGAAAGCTCAGTCATTGAAAACTATTGGGATAAACTTGATAGATTGGACAAACTGTCTTAAATAATGTTTAACACAATGTAGCAATAAAAAATGACTGCAGTTGTAAGTTTAGGAGGCTGCAACCAGAAAAGTTATTGAAATGGATTTGTTATGATCCTATTCTAACTGGAAAGTCAACACTAGGTTTTTACACACTCAGTTGGACTTCAGCTTTCAGTCAGGTGCTCTGAATTACAAGGACGAGGTGATTCTTGGATGCTCTAGCAGGGCATGTTGAGGAGGAGTTAGTAGGTGGTAATATCTGTAGACATGCTTTCAGGGGCTAGCTGCTGCTATTATGATGCATGTGCTTCAAAACAGATGTTCAAAAGTAGAAGTGTGTTCCAAAAATACAAGTAAGGATAAATACAGCCTGGAAATGCATTTTCTAATGAAAGACTCAGTTTTCGCTTCCTAGTTTACTCAAGAATAGTTTGAAAGTCACCTGGTTATGGTTCATAAATGACTATGTATGAGACCTTTCCTCTAACAGAAAAACAAAGCAAGAAATGTTCAACTCCATCATTGAACTAGCCTACAAGTAGTTGTAGGCTGCTACTACTCCATCCCTTAGCTTCTTGTTCCCCTCCTCAGCTTCTTGTTCCCCTCCTTAGCCTCCTTAGCCCCTCCAGGTCCTGACCATCTTATTACCCATCCTCTGCTGGACCCTCCCCAGCTTCGCCCAGTCCCCCCAGAACTGGGTGGTCCACATCTGAACACAATGCTCCAGGTGTGGGTGCAGCAGCAGCAAGTGGAGCAGCACAGAAGTTGCCCTGCTCTGGAGGCCGGGGCTCTCCTACCACTGTGGCTTGCACGAGCTGTGATGATGAGGGTGCACCGTGGGCCCCCTCAGCCTGGTGTCCAGCCGATGGCAAGAGCCCGATGGCTGTAAAGCCTGACTCTTTGGAGTGAAGGACCTGTCAGAAACACTCCCCATCTGCACATTCACCAAGTAGAAGCTTCCAGTAAAGAGTGATGTCTTTCTGCACTTGACAATTTGCATACAGAAATGAAGTGAAATTTCAGTTTTAGTAAAGTGACAGAGATCTCTGTCTAGTACCAGGGCTCCTTGTTGCTAAACTAGGTAAGGGTGTGTAAGCATCTGGCAATATTAAGGTTATGTGGTGTTTCAAAACTACTTGCTGACTTCTGAGGACTTCACATTCAAATGATCATGTGCCAATACACATTGTAATAGAAGTAATATTTAAAAAAAAATATTCAGCTTGTATGGATAATAGTTTGTTTGACTTTTTTTCCATACAGTCTGAGAGGTATCCTTTAAGAGAATGGATCTTTATTTGAGAGAGAAAATATTTTGTAATAGTAGCAGATTTTCTAAAGTATGTATATTAGAAGTGTCTCATCATAAACGCTAGTGCGTTTAGAAGTTTAAAAGCCCAGACTGTTCTTCTCTGAAAAATATTTACATTCTAAGCAGAAAAAACTTTTATGAGCATTTCATTTTGAGAACAGTTACATATCTATACATTTAAATATAATTTACAAGTTTTCTGTAGTTCATTGAACTAATAAACTGCAATAAAGCAAACAGCAAAGTGTATTGGGTCATGTTCTCTAAAGCAAAGAACATCTTACCTATATAAATAAACCTTATTTGCCAAGCAGGTCCTCAGTATTTTTCTTACTGTAAAACCTCTCCACACTTCAGCAATTCTCATAGCAAATGCTACTTCATTTTAGCCTAATAAGACTCTCTTATTCTGACACGTTCTTCTCTGATCAGTGAGATTTTCTACAACACAAATTGCTTACGTCTTTTGAAAAGCCCCAGTGATCACAAACGAAGGCTGTAGCACATAAGCTTATTCTTGATACAAATTGATAATATTTCACCATTTATGGAGAAAAGATTAGTCTACCAAGGGTCCTTTCATAAAACTAGCCAGTAGCTCTACAAAATACCCAGCTAATACAACATTGAAAATGTGTTCAATAAGGGATGCATGTGCATCTAACTCACACTGTGCTATTTGAATGGCTTTGTTTGGTTTGCTTTGGCAATGTGCACCTGGAAAGGGATGTCTTCAACCATCAGGTCCATTCATCTGCTATTACAGGCCTCACGTAATGTCCTAGCAAGAACATTTCACAGGTCAGG